TGTATGAATTTGAGAAGCCTAGATAAAGTCTTATCGAAGCATCTCATATCAGAAATCTGAACTTTGGTAAGAAAGTCAATAAGTATTGATTTATAGAAGTCCAGCTGATTTCTGGGTACATGTCAAAGCTAGCGGGAGCATAAGTGTTATGCTAGTAAGATAATAATTATTATGCTAGTGGGATTATAATTATTATGGTAAGTGTTGCGAGTTAGCAATGTTAATTATAGAAAATAAAAGTTTCAATTCGCAAAGTTGTAGAGTTTGAAAAAGTTGTTTTGCTATAATTAAGGGAGAGGAATTCATGCTTCATTTCAAATCCAAAAGCTTAGATTGAGACTTTAATCAAATTTAGTCAAGGATATATATGAATGTTATGTTGAAAAGATTCGACATAAGGAAATTCTATATATGGAAATGTTATAGCAAGAGACTGGTAAAGTATCACGTCTTTATGTAAGACATTATGTATCGTATCCTATATGCTTCGGGTATAGGATCGATTACATATGCTATAACATTAATATGTTCTAATTTTCCAAATGCCCAGGGCATTAAGAGGGAAAAGGGACTAGAACGAGATATGACTAAAATGGTTCAGCAATTGTCGAGGACAATCTGAGGTTTACCAAAGATTGGTTGCTTATGGACAGTTGGAAGTATATTGTAAATTTTTGAAGGACCATGTTGACATACTTTGAGAAGAGCTAACTCTTGTTTAGAAGTGATAATCAAAATGGGAATATGGAAATGTTTCCATAAGCGGAAGTTATTCTTTAAATCTGTATAAGATTAGAAAACTTAATGCAAGAAGGATGTTCAAAGGAATGTACTTTGAATGTGAGACTTCGTTTCCATGGAATTGATCTCCATTGGATCACTTTGTAATGTCTGTTGCCAAGTCTCTGTGACTTTTGTGCATAGTCATTACAAGTGGATCATTGCATATAAGTTTAGAATCTAAACAGATTATAGCAAATGGCAAGAATTTGGTATTCTTATTTATGATAAGGATTTGGAATTGTGAAATGAGCATCATTGAAATGTTGTCAATTGATCTATTTCACAAAGAAAGGACCATATGTAAACATAGTGTGCACGCTTGGAGCATGGGATAACTATTGTTTTAATTCAAGTATCAAGTTCATTAATCGAAGCATTATACAATGAATAATGTGTAATCAATATGTTGATTAAATAAAAAGTGTTTTATTTATATTCGTAAGTTCTGAGACCATATTGGATTCGATTATTCTTGTGTTTTACTTTGCATGTTTTGACTTTCCGAATAACTAGGTTATTCAAACCATCCACAGTCGATCATAATTTGGAAGTAGGTATTGAAGCTAGACTGTCATGAATGGGTCTTTAGATTGTCTAAAGGCGTTTAGACATAGCACAAGTTTGCTGCAGTGTTCATGAGTACTCTTGTAATAAGATTTGAGTATTGGATTAAACCTACGCTCATCTGAATCAATTCATGGATTTTATCACGAGTGATTGTGAGATGATAATATCTTATATTCTTGAAACCAAGACATGTGAGTTGTAGTTTACAAGTCGGTTGTACATTGACATATGTAAATGCACCAGTAACTTGGTGTTATAAAGCATATTGTTGTGTGTGATTTGATGAGTAGTACAATCAAGCAGTTGAGTCGAAGTTTATCCATTCCTTTTACCCTTAGAGGGATAAAAGCGATATATGTGTGCCCCTTGATGATTTAGTGATGACACCCTAAGTGCTTGGCCAAGCCTGGACTGATTTGATTTGTTCAATTAGTCGGTCGTCATAATTCGGAAATCGGGAAACAACAGATAGATCGAGAGAATGATTGTAATCCATGTCTCGGTCCATATGATATCTTGTAGAATGGAGGAATATATAATCCCTTATCTAATGGACGCGTCATTGACTAGGTCAGAGTTCGTCAACGGCTTTTAAGAGCTACGATTGCTAGTCGGGATTTTGGAGTCATACTAGCAATTATAGTTATTAGACTTATCCAAGTGGGAGATTGTTGGATTAGGTGTCTAAACCCATAACTATAATTGGTATGTACTTGACCCAAGAGTAGCATGGTCCATTCGGGTTGCATATCACCAGGACAATTTGATAGGATGGATATTTGAGTAAGAGGTTATTTATGATTTATTAATATATTATAAGTTCTAATATATTAATATGAAATCATATTATTTAATTAGTATTGATCAAGAATTAATTTGGAATGAATTTAGTGATCAAAAGAGACTAATTAAATTAATGGGGACTAATTATTGTAATTAGTGAAACATAAGGATTGGGCTATTGATCCATGTTGGAGTAGGTTTATGTATGGATCCATAAAGAGTTAGCCCACATGAACCATGGATCATAAACCCATGTGTATGGATTAGGGTTTACCCATGACCTTTGGAATCCTACACTATATATATGTTACTCATACCCTAAAATCGGCTAATTGTGTTCCTAGAGTTCATAGGAGCCGATTTTGAAGCTAGTAACCTCTCTCTCAAGTTCTCCTTTGTCCAAGGTCTGTTGTGAACCGTTTGAGGCGTCACAATTGAGGTGCTAAGTTCTTAAAGGACAAGCACAACAAGCTACAACAAGAGGTAATTATATAACTCACATTTATGTTGTTTATGTCAATTGTATGCTAGTTGTAGGCTTAATGCTTTGGAAACAATATTGCATGTATAATTAGAGAAAACATAGATCCAAAGCATTTATGGTTGTATGTGCACCATAGGATGTTGTAGTATGCCAAACCCAACACTCTCGCCCTGAATCACTAACCCTACCCCACTAGGAATCCGAACCCTCACTAGCTGCTGCTCACAGTCGGTCACTGCCCCATTGGGGCTCAACCAATCGATGCCAACTGTAACCTTATTCCCTCGCAGGGATAGGGACTAGGTCCATAGAAAACTGCTCATCAAATAACTGTAGTGTACATCCTCCATGAACTCTTGCAACCCTGACAGTCCTATCGTCTACTATCTCTACATCAACTGGGCAATCCAACTCCCCATGAGCCCCTGTGAATCGCTTGCTGAGCGCGAGCGACACAAAAGATCGGGTGCGGCCCCTGAATCGCTTGCTACTGCTAAACTCGGGCACTGGGACCGCTTGTGTCCCCTCTGATTGCACTGGAAGCAAATCACGTCTGATACTTTCGTGGTGGTGGTAGTAGCCGTACAATCCCTGCTCAAATGTCCAATTCAGCCGCACTTGAAGCAACCCGAAGTACCTACCCTGCATACCCCATCATGTCTCCTACCACACTTGCCACAGCGGCCTCGGCCCGGCTGGCCCTTCCCTCGGGTATCTACCTTGGGCTTCTTGCCCGCACTCCCTGACTGAACCCCCTCTGGCTTCTTGCCCGCACTCCCTAGCAAGCATGAAAAGAGCCGAGATAGGAAGCCCGAAGGCTTAGCGCGCCCGGCGGGACAGACCCAACGGAGCTTAGCGCCCGCTAGCGCCTCTAAGAGCAAGGTCCTCCTGCAGCAAGGCTCGCGCCCGCTTAGGGCGCCTTCCGCTCCAAGACAAATGATGCGGTCAACCGACAAAGCAGATGATCAGGGCATTATTTCCAGAACCAATATCAACGCTCTGACAGATAGAGGAGAACGATCCTCCAATCAGCGCCCCTGATCCTGTCCCGTACGGACGATCAGGAGCGCCTAATGTAAAAGGCTACACCCACAGCCCCGACGGGTAACTCACCTGATGGGTTTGAACCATAAGAACTTTCCTATGTGCACATGCAAACCCTAATTGCTTGGATCTAGGTTTCTCTAATTGAACATGCATTGAATCCAAGACTTGCAATACTAGATCTAATGTAATATATTGAATCTAATCATATGAAATCAGATCTGAAAGAATACCTTGAATTACTTGCTTGATACTTCTTCTTCTTGGAGCTTAGAGTCACAATTGTCACTCCTCTAATGGCTTACAAACACCAAATAGCAAGAAGATGATCTTGAGAGAGAGGGAGGAGGGATAGAAATCGGCCCTAGGGTTCCTTGGCTTGCAAGAGTGTCGATTTCTCCATCCCAAGGGTCCTATTTATACTATGAGCTATTAGGGTTTCTCCATTAACCCTAATTGAATGACTTAGGCCCTAAGCAATCCAAGATCCTTCTAGATACAAGGCTTGGACGAAATTAAGGTTCCCAAGCCCCTAAATTTCGTTCACCCTAATATCCATAAGGATACATAGCCCAAAATACAACTATCACACATTTGACAGTTTATGCCCCTTTATTCAATTAACCTCTTTAAGTCACCAAATTAATTCTCAATTAATATATGACTTATATTAATCAAATAATATTATTATTTCCTCAATATATTATTCTCATAATATATTAATAATATTTCTTCTCTCTTAACAAATCATCCTGTCAAGTTGCTATGGTGAAGGCAACCCAAAAGGACCATGCATAACCGGGTCAAGTACTTACCAAATATAGTTATAGCCTTAGACACTAATCCAACATCACCTTCTCCAAGTAATACCCACAAAACCCTAGAATACACAACTAACTTGACCGTCAGAGCGTAGTTCCGGGAGCTCCTCCCGGGAAACGGCTGACGACCTTCTTTCCATTGTGACTTTGCAGGAACGATGAGACAATCATTGTCGGAGCTCGCCGAAGCCTGAGATCAAGGTCACGTCATTTGGCGCCATCCGTTGTGTAACGAAAGATATAACCAAAAGCACACTGTTCACAAGAAAGAAATGGAATCTGGCGACATTGGAGGTTCCAGTGGGACACCAGCTAGTCCCATTCGGCCAATGGTGTTGTTAGAAGAAATGCCACCACCCATAGTGGTCGCCAAAGAGTTGCCAGATGAGGGTGGTTCGGTGGTGACCGTTGAACCACCAGAAAAACAACAACAAATGGCCGACGAGGAACACTTTTCCTCCGCCACTGTCTTGACTACAATCACTCCGGTGCAGACGTCCTAAACACTGCCTATGACGTCAACGACAAACACACATGTCGCAACATTGGTCCCACTCCAACAGCCGATGCCAGTCCAAATGACAATGCCGCCACCCACATTTTTTCAAACACCGCCACTGGGCAACTGTCAACGACACAACTGGTAGCTTCCCAGATGCCACCACTGTTGAATCCAATGGCAAGAGAGAAACAAACGATCCTTCAAACGATGTTGCAACTAACTCAGACGATCGACATGCAGTCAACATTCCACCCATCGCCGATAATCCAGACACCACTAGAAGCACAAGCGACCCCCTCAGTGCCACCGCTAGCCCAAGCAATGGTAATCCAAACACCGATTTTCTTGACATCGCCGTTTCTGGCGAATACACCCCTCCTTCTTGCATATTCCCATTACCAACAAGCTACGTCGAATAACCTACACACCCAAAACATGCCCACGTTATCCAACCACCTGTTAACATTACCATTTCCACAACGAGCATTCTATGGCCCGAACCCTACATATTATACACCTTACAACAACTCAATCCTGCAACCGCATACAGCCGCCCAATAGTACAATTTGTAGGGCATGCTGCATATCCCCAACCAAGACTGTTTATCATGTAGCGTGACATCTCCATTTGCCAAGGAACTGCTGGACTACGAAATTCCGAACACAACTAAACTCTCCAACCTTAAAACCTACAATAGAACCACAGATCCGGAGAGCCACATCGACACTTATAAATGGACGATGACGTCGCTCAAGCTGGACGAACAATTCTGGTGCACATACTTTCCGACGACTCTGGACGGCAACACCGGAACATGATACAAAACACTCCGCCCAGGAAGCATATACAACTTTGGGCAGCTGAAATACCTATTCCATACAAACTTCATGCAATTAAGGAAGTATAAAGGCGACTCACACTCCATTATCAGCTGCAAACAAAAAGAAGGGGAAACGGTAAGGGAAAATTTCACGAGATTCACGAATGCTACACTGGATGTTCCAGGGCACGACGAGGGCCTAATAGCAGGAGCCTTCACGTGGGGAATCCTACCAGGCCCTCTATCCTAAAAGCTCATGGGCAAGAAACCACAGACACGGGCCGAACTGAAGAAAAACTAGAACAATATTTGAGACAAGAGGAAGGGGAGGCAACAAAACAGGCATACCAGAACGCCATGACCACCCCCGCCAAGCGCCACAGCCCGCCTCACATAGAGACACAAGGCTGGAACAGGCATTTTGGGCGAGGGAAACGCTTGCATGGGCGTTTCAGGCCATTTGCTAGAGATGATAGGCGAAGCCGACGGCCAGACGTTTATGTAGTCGCAGGCAAGCAATAGCCAGCGAAAGCAGCGAAGGGGCGATTCCGTGAATACCATAAGAGCAAAACGCATGACACCACCAACTGTTCGGTGTTAAAGAAGGAAATGGATGAAAAACAGATAAAAGGAAACCTCATTGAGATATCACGAAGCCTCTGCACCAAATTTGAGGCCGAAAACGCCAGGTATGCAACAAAAGAGCATGCTCAACCCAGGGAAATCCTCATGATACGAGTAAAATGGGAGAGACCAGACGAGCAGGACGACCTGATAAGACTCACCACGACAATCCAAGGGCTCAAAATTTCAATCAGAGATCCTCGACCCAAAGGCAGGAAGGGAGACAACACACTCATAATCCAAGGGTCCATTAGAAACGTGACAATCCATAGGGTGTACATCGACACATGCAGCTCTACGGACATCCTCTATGAACATTGTTTCCGTCTCCTCCCAGAAAGATGGAAGGAGAACCTCAAGCCCACCACGAGAAGGCTCGTGAGTTTCACTGGGCATAGCTTGTGGCCCATAAGTAAAATTCACCTGCCACTAAGGCTCACAAGCCACGACAAGCAACGAAGAAAGAAGGCCTAAATCGACTTCGTCGTAATACGACATCCGGCAGAGCATAACATCATTCTGGGAAGGACAACTCTACTCAAGCTGGGAGCAGTCCCGTCAACAATGCACGAGATTGTAAAATTTATCACCACCAAAGGGCCAGGCACAGTCCTCGCAACCACGCCAAAGGAACTACAATGTTTCGAGGTCATGCGACCGGAAGAAATAGCGCAAGAAATCAAGAACGCACGGGTCGAACTAACAAACGGGAAATAGGTCATCCACGAAGAATACCCGGATCAGCCGGTCAACATCGGCAACAATCTCCTGAAACCAAATAGACGCGCGTTGATCAACATTTTGAAACAATACAAACATGTTTTTGCATGGACCCCCACCGACATGGTAGGGGTAGACCGGGAAGTTATAGAGCAAAGGCTAATGTTCAAGCAGGGCACGAAGGAAGTTAAGTAGAAGAAGAGGGTTTAAGGAGGAGACGGTAATAGAGCAATCAATGCCGAGGTAGCCAAACTGACAAAGGCAGGGATCCTAAGGGAAGCGATCTTCCCTACCTAGATTGAAAACCCCGTCATGGTAAGGAAACACGATGGCTCATGGTGCATGTGCGTCGACTACTCTGATTTGAACAAAGCATGCCCAAAGATTGTTACCCCCTGCCAGAGATCGATCATAAGGTAGAATCGCTGCCAGATTCACATTAAAATGTTTTTTGGATGCATACAAGGGGTTTCATCATATCTTGATAAGCAAAGGAGACGAAGAGAAAACAACTTTTTACACATACCACGGAGCTTTCTGCTACACAAAGATGCCATTTGGTCTAAAAAAATGCAGGCGCAACATACCAGCGATTAGTCGACTCCATATTCGCCAAACAAATTGGAAGAAATATTGAGGTATATGTCGACGACATGGTCATCAAAAGCCCGGACAAAGGGAAGCTACTAGAAGATGTGGAGGAAAACTTCAAGACGCTAAAGAAAGTTAGGATGAAACTAAACCCCGACAAGTGCACCTTCGGAGTGGAGAGGGGCAGTTTCTGGGATACTACGTCACTAGGCAAGGAATACAACTTAGCCCAGTCAACGTGGATGAGCTCATGGAGACCCCGTCGCCAAGCACCCGTAGAGATGCCCAAGGCCTGAACGGAAAGCGCACAGCCCTCAACTGCTTCATCTCGAAATCGGCTGACAAGGCTATGTCACTCTTTCACACGCTCAAGGGGTGTATCGAAAAAAATAACTTCTAGTGGACAGCAACGACAGAGGCAACACTTCAACAAATCAAAGAGGCCTTGCATAAATTACCCACGCTGGCCAGTCCTATCCCAAGCGAGACGTTGCAAATGTATCTCTCCGCCTCAGCCGAAGCCATCTCGTATGTTTTGGTCGTGGAAAGAGAATGAAGGCAGACACCGGTCTACTTCGTTTGCCAGGCATTGCAGGGCCCTGAACTCAATTATCCCACTCTTGAAAAACTAATGTTCGCGCTCATCTATGTTGTACGGCGCCTGAGGCGCTACTTCCATGCACACCAGATAGAAGTACTAACAAACTGTCCAATCAAGCAAATATTTATCAAGCTAGAGACCTCTGGACGTCTCGCAAAATGGGCAATTGAACTGGGCGAACACGACATCAACTACCGTCCACGAACAAGCATCAAAGGGAAAGTGCTTGAACATTTCCTGCTCGAAATCCCCGAGAGAGGGGAAGATATGAACCAGGAAGGAATACCAGCGACAGGTAGATCACCAAAGGATAACCAGAGATGGACCTTATACATGGACGGTGCGTCTAGCAAGGAAGGCTCAGGAGTGGGCCTAATCTTGACCAGCCCAGAAGGGGAGGAAGTCACATACGCCCTCTGTTTTGACTTCCACACTTCCAATAATGAGGCGGAATACGAGGCTTTGCTCGCCGGCCTACAGTTATCCAAGCAAATGGGGGCGGAAGCAGTGGTAGCCCTGAAAGACGCAAGACTGGCCGCCAACCAAATGAACGGAAGCTTCGAAAAAAAGATAAGAGAATGGAGAAGTATGTCAAGATAGTGCGGCTGCTCGTCAAGCCCTTCAAAGATTTCGTCATTAAGCAGATACCAAGAAGTGAGAATAGAAGGGCATATGCCCTAAGCAAGCTGGTGTCAACGTGCTTTGACGACCTATCCAAGAAGGTCTTAGTGTAGGTGCTCAAAGAAAGAAGCATAGATGAGCGGCAAGTGAAAACCTTGACAACATCCAAACGCACATGGATGACCCCTCTGATCGAGTATTTGCAGCACGGTATTCTACCAGACAGCCATGAAGAGGCCAGGAAAATACGTGTTAAAGCACCCTCATAGGTGCTCGTGGATGGGGAACTATATCGGAAAGGATTTATGACACCTTGGCAAAAATGTGTACACGAGGCCAAGGGCAAGGAATCGCTCCAAGAGGCACACGCTGGTCAGGCGGGTGTGCACGAGGGAGCGCATGCTTTGGTAGGAAAGGTGGTACGCATAGGCATGTACTAGCCAACCACACACCAGGATGCGGCAGAATTAACAAAAAAATGTGTGGAATGTTAGGCATACTCCCCTGTCCAGGGGAAACCCTCGGCTCCCCTGAAAAATATATCCACCCCGTGGCCATTTTACCAGTGGGGAATAGATATTGTGGGACCGTTCCCAGAAGCCCCGGGCAAGGTAAATTTTTTGATCGTAGCAGTAGATTACTTCACAAAGTGGATAAAGGATGAACCATTGGCATGTATATCGGGGAGACAAGTGATCAAATTCATGTGGAAAAACATCGTGACCAGATTTAGGATTCCTAAGGTACTCGTCAGTGATAACGGTCTGTAGTTTGTTGCGAACCCGTTAAGAGAATGGTGCGTTGACAAAGGAATCACGCAGAGGTTTACATCGGTTGTGCACCCTCAAGCGAATGGCCAGATGGAGGTGTCCAACAGAACGATAGTTGTTAACGTACCCTAGCAAGCACAAAAAGAACCGCGCCGGCCGTGCCAGGACGCCCGAAGGCTTAGCGAACCAGGCGGGACAGACCTAGTAGAACCCAGCGCCCGCTAGCGCCTCTAAGGGCAAGGCGCCCCTGCATAAAGGCTCGCGCCTGCTAGCGCCTCTAAGGGCAAGGCGCTCCTGCAGAAAGTCTCTCGCCTGCTAGCACCTCTAAGGGCAAGGCGATCCTAAAGAAAGGCTTGCGCCCGCTAAGGGCGCCTCCCGATCCAAGACAAATGATACGGTCAAGCGACAAAGCAGACGATCAGGGCACTATTACTAGAACCAATAGCAGCGCTCTGACAGATAGAGGAGCACGATCCTCCAATCAGCGCCCCTGATCCTGTCGGCTCTGGCGATCCTGTCTCGTATGGACGATCAGGAGCGCCTAATATAAAAGGCTACTCCCACAGCCCCGACTGGTAAGTCGCATTCTCCAAGTAATACCCCATAAACCCTAGAATACTCAATTGACTTGACCGTCAGA